TGAGGGTCAGACCTGTGAGGGTCAGACCTGTGAGGGTCAGATCTGTGAGGGTCAGACCTGTGTCAGACCTGTGAAGGTCAGATCTGTGTCAGCCTGTGAGGGTCAGACCTGTGAGGGTCAGATCTGTGAGGGTCAGACCTGTGAGGGTCAGACCTGTGAGGGTCAGATCTGTGAGGGTCAGACCTGTGAGGGTCTGTGAGGGTCAGACCTGTGAGGGTCAGATCTGTGAGGGTCAGACCTGTGAGGGTCAGAGGGTCAGATCTGTGAGGGTCAGACCTGTGAGGGTCAGATCTGTGAGGGTCAGACCTGTGAGGCACATTTTCACGTCAAGTTTGGATTTTATAAATCACAACCTTGGTGTAAAAAGTGGCGTACGCCAGTTTTATAAATCCGACCCCAGGTAACCTGTAATGTTTGATTTTAACCTGATGCACATTAAGCCCCTCCCACTTACGTCTTGAGACGAGTGCTGTGCTCGCTGTTGCTGCATGTTTGTCGGTCCATTCAGCTCATCTTTGGATACATTGTAGCTCCGCCTCACCAGGTGATTGTTGTCCAATCGCTGACCTGAGGGGGCGGAGTCAGAGCAAAAAGAATATCTGACTGTTTATTTACAAAAATCTGAGGCAAGGCTAAATAAAAATAGGTTGTGTTGTAAAACCATCATCTGACCCACAATGTAAAACTACAATTTAAAGATTCACTTTTTCACAGGAAAGATGGAACTTATTTTTCTTCTGAAAGATTTGTTTTACCTGTACGTCTGCAGGTGAAACACCTGAACTTGTTCCTGTTAGAGCTGATTCACTAACCTCACATGACCAACATTAGTCTTTGTAAACCCCCGAGCCCCCCGAGCCCTCGGTCTCATGGGAAATCTTTGCTCCTAATTGGATCTCAGCTCAGCTGAAAGAGTTCAAAAGGAACAGACAGAATGGGCCAATCAGCTTAAAGCTGCTCCCACAGGTGTGCTCTGACATCAGCAGTCAGGGAGGAAACACTCAGGTTTCAATAGAAATGAGATTTAGTTCTTCTCATCACTTTGTTCCTGGGAACAGCCAATCAGAGTCCAGCAGGAAGTCAGCTGACCTTTCACCTGTGAGGTGAGTGCAGCTGAAACTTCAGACAATTCCTGTCTGCATACACCTGTGTTAGAACCATCAGTCAGCAGAATGAAGAGTGACTCAGCAGTTTTTTTATTTGAAATAATTTCAACAGGTTAACTATAACCCTGGTTAACTGTAACTCAGGTTAACTGTTACCCTGGTTAACTGTAACCCTGGTTAACTGTAACTCAGGTTAACTGTAACCCTGGTTAACTGTAACCCTGGTTAACTGTAACTCAGGTTAACTGTAACTCAGGTTAACTGTTACCCTGGTTAACTGTAACTCAGGTTAACTGTAACTCAGGTTAACTGTTACCCTGGTTAACTGTAACCCTGGTTAACTGTTACCCTGGTTAACTGTAACCCTGGTTAACTATAACTCGGGTTAACTATAACCCTGGTTAACTGTAACTCAGGTTAACTGTAACTCAGGTTAACTATAACTCAGGTTAACTATGACTCAGGTTAACTATGACTCAGGTTAACTATAAACCTGGTTAACTGTAACTCAGGTTAACTG